CAATGTTACATTTTAAGTTTTTTTCGGGGATAGTGTACGACTGACGGACGGGTCATTTAGTTCCTTCTCGTCCTGATTGTCAGTACCAACCACAGCTGTTCACGCAATGTGTTACACGGCTCTAAGTTTCAGCTAAATACATGTTTCCATAACACATCACTCAAGCATCCAGAGCGTTATGCTTCATTCCGTCGAGCGTGCTTAACTATGCTATAGCACGTGTTCTTGAAACGTTGTTTCTTTTATCGTCGGTTTCAGTTGAAATTGACAAGCAAAAGGTAGCAGGACTGTAAGTAGGAGGCCCACGTGGTCCGTGAAATGTGAAAGCTACTTACAACAACACCACTGGATTGTTGTCGATTGCAAAAAGAGGTATGAATCGACACCAATCAAGGTTTTGACAGCTCTATTGTTGGTAGTGTCGCGCTCTTCGACTGACAATCACAACATTGATCTAGCCGGGGGATATGAGCACCCGTGTTCTAGTCTCGACGTTTCCTTACAAGTATTTTCCCGCGTTTTATGAATACAGCCACAAAACTTGGCTCTTGAGGTGTTCATGCCTTGCAACCATAGTTTGACCGATTAGAATGAGTTCAAGCTGGGTCACTATAAGCTTAAATCAAATGTCATTTCGTTACCATAACACCTATTATCATAAATCATTGCACAATAAAACACTTAATATTGACACAATGTTTGCTTTTAGAGATATACTTAGCATGTAGGATATGTTAATTGTAACAGTTTTGTATACATCTAAGAAGAAAGAGTATATCGAATGACGACAAGTCAGAGACAAAATACTATGGATGTCAACTTCTTGTTTATTCTATACACAACGTTTCTGGGCTTCTTCAGAATTGTCGTAAAACACTTTTTGTTACTCTTTGGCATTCTTTCCGTTTCTTATACTTAAACGTATTAACAAATATATTTTTCAAAACCTTAATTGCAATTAACGACATTTAATTTGAATTTTATCAAGTTACATTGACACAATAGAACACTGAAAAAAACAACATATATGTTATTCCATATCAATATTCTTCTTGTCGCGAAGATAACTTTCACTTATGACGGATCACCTGACTTTGACCAATCGATACTGTTTCATCCCAAACCACCCAATAACTTCCCACAAAAACAAATTAAACCTGTGCAGCTTCTGTACGGTAGGTGGTCGTATCACCCCACTTTGTCGCAAGTCTTTGAGTGATGAAAGGTTAAAAGGAATATAACGACATGCCTGATACGGCATATGACGCTCAGACCTGAAATCGACAAGCAGGATGAAATTAATGAATAAACCCGGTTACTTGCTAATTGATTCGTGTGTCGCTCAAATGACGACGATTGAGATAACGTGCCAAGGTTGCCCGCTCCCCACCCTGTCCCAGGATAGGCCCCGCTATGCACCTGTCCTGCTGCCGAGCGCTCTAGGTAACTAACAAATTAAACAGTCGCCCGAAGCAATGGTAAAGTTGCCCGCTATCTGGGTCGACTCTGAGGTTTTAATTTAGCATTGAGAATCAAAGTAGCGTGAACAGTGGAATCATTCTGCTGTTATGCTTGGAGGGCTGGAATTGGAATTTGTTGTTTATGAAAACGGTTAAATTTTTTGTAATTGACTCCTGGGATTTTATGGTTCCGTGAACAGATTTCTGTTAATAACATTTGTAATTGACGTAAATGTGATATGTATATCAATAGTCGGGCATCGTGTCGGTATTATGGTGTACGACTTTCATTTACATGGCTTATCAACTGTGTCTTTGTAGAAAGCAAATAAAACCAACTAAGAGCGCAATTCGATACATAATCGGCGGAGGGAGTTTATTGTTGGGAGTAATAACTTTGATTAAATGCATTTCACATGCAGCTACCAAATCAAATTTAATCGTCAAGTTTTTATTCCAGGTGCGGTTTATTACTGGAGTGAAATGTGTACTTTACGAATGTCACTATAACATGGTAAGACTATTATTATGTTATGCTACATTGTAAACAAATAATTTGGCCATAATGGGTCATTATATTGGTCATCTGCTTATTAATACAGCAAAAATATAAGTACAACTGTTCCAAGACATATGGTAATATTGAGGCCCTTAGCATTACTTCCGGGTAATAATTCTTCAATAATTCGTAATTCAGTTCAGTTTACATATAAGTATATAATACAACAACACACACATGTGATTCACATGGTATGAATCTTGATGGTCACATTGGTCGGTTTTTCGTAATAAGGAGATGGTCGTAATACAGAGGTTTATTTGTATACTCACGTTTCCCAGCGTTAAACTGAGAAATCAACAGCTAATTCGAAATCATGGCCATGCTTGTTATCTAACCTTTGATGATATCGTTGGTGAACAATGTATGATCAATATCGTGCATATCAAACTAACAACAAACTACAAGGAAAGTAACGCCGAGTTCACACAGCTACCCTTGGGGAACCTCGATCGCCAGTACCCTATGTAAATCAGCCGGGTCATCTGACGAGCCTCTGAATGTTATGACACGTTTATAGGGGCAATGTACACAGCGATATTTGTCTTTCATTCATTAGGCCTTGTATGATAAAATGTAGATAAATGCAATATACTGGTAGACTTACGCATTTAGGAGATTCATTGCGACGTGTTTTAGTGTCCCGGAAGATTTATGCCCATTTATATGAGTTTTGTTTAGATTTCTATGATTATTGTTTACCCGTATTTGATTATTACTTACGCAAGTAAGGTAGTGAGTGAATGGGTGGTTTGGCCATTGTCAATACAACATATTGTCCTTGCAGATGATGGCACCAGTTAAATGACACAAAAATATATGCTAACAATATGTATAACACAATTAAGCCATCAAATTACTTCATAAATGAGAGTGGTGTTTGTTTTGTGGTAAATGCACGTCCCTTTTTCACAAGGTGAGTATAACATTGGTCCGATGACAACTTGACATGGATACTACAAGGTGAGTATGACATTGGTCCGATGACAACCTGACATGGATACTTCTATGTCAATTTCACACGATGTCTAGTCAATTTCAAAATCAGCACTGACTTCAACTGTTAATGATGTTTCATATGTCTTAGTATAATAGCATTTTGTAATCAAGTATGTCATATAGACAATTAAGGCGACAAACAATCACAGACAATACTGAGGCACCAATAAAAGTGGCAACATTTACTTTGTGTGAGTGTGGATAATAATATATGGAAGCTTACAGACCTGCGTTCAATGTTTACAAGTCCAACACAGCCATTTGAACCTTAATAGTGAAATTGTTGTTATTTCCTTTGCCTGCTGTTTGTATACATTCTGATTAGAAATATACATATAACAGTTGTCGATAGCACCCAGTACTTAACCCCAATGTCGATTGTATACACAAATAGTATTCCAAAGCAATCAAACAGGAGGCTACCGTTGCATATTTCACGGTTGGTCAAGTGACTCGAAAAGTGCAAAACTATGATTCTAATACATAAACTAGTAGTGTTTAAGAATACAAATTTAAAGGTGTAGGAACCTTTTTTATAACAAATAGCCTCCACATTTTATCACTTTAACCATACGGTGTTGCGAAGTTGACGATAGACGGATGGGTTTTTAATCTTTATTCAATGGCATGATAACTGAACATAGATGATTGGTAAATAATTTCTCGCTTTCACGCGCTCGTCGACTGCAAGAAGCCCTAGGGCATTAGACTGAGTTGCATTGAGACGGTAGGGAGGGGGTGTCGGGGAAGGGGGTATTGGGAGGCGAGGTGATTCAGTAACCAGGTGCGAATCAATGCTATATTTTCACATGTATTGAAGCCGCGTTGATACGATGGCTGTATACAACAGCGCTGACAGCGAATACTTGCGGATAGGAAATACAACGAGTACAACACTCATTCAGAGGAATCCCACAGGGAATAACATCGTACAACACCTAGGTATTCAGGCCAGATTGCGCCGGCTATAGCAGAATAGACACAGAAGAATATAAGGGGAGCGAGCTTAATAATCATTCGGTGAATCCCCTGACTGATATAAAGCTATCTCTGAAGAAACTCGGCAAGAATATTATCACGGTCCGGTTAATCCGTAATCTCTGATTACTTGCACAATGCACAGGCATATTTCCTGGTCATATATACTCAGGTAGTGTCCTGTATCTCTGGCTGCAAGGGTATCGGTTGAACAGACCGTGCACCAAAGTGCAGTTTAACGGAAGAAGATGTGCATCGACCCGAATGGAAACTACACATGTAGGAAAATTTAAAATGATTAGTGTGTATATCAAATTAAGGGAAATATTTCTCACAAGACAGTTGTGATGATCTCTCCGTATTGTACAGAAAGCGGCACCGGAGCTGAGACTGAGGTCAACGTGTTCTCTCCGAAACAGATCATCTTGTACGATGTACAATGTAAATTTCTTGTCATATCTGAGAAAGTTTGTATACTGATATGTGTTAGCAATGGCGTACACAAATCTACTATAGTGTACACACGGTGGTAGACGAGGCGCGCACGCTCGCCCTAAACATGAATGAAAAGATAACCGATGTTTATTCCTCCTGACTAGATGTTTGAAAAAGCAGCTTGATTGACAAGTGTGGGCCTTGATAGGGAGGTAATGACGAGTTTTGACAGCCACCAGCGACTAGTCCTTGAGATTCAGACCTGGTCTGAAGATCCGATGTTTGCTGGTAAAGCCCGCCTCTGAAAACCGAAGGCGGATCACCAAGCGAGGCCAAACCGTTCCTGTCGATGTAGAAATAATGATGTTTTGAAGTCGTTCTCGTTTAAAGTGGCTTGTTTGCCAAATTGCTTGATCGACAGTCGATGGAAGCTCCGATACTTTTTGTTGAAATAGACATGTGACAGGCAGGCGGGGCGGGATGTGATCCCGCGCTCTGATTGGCTAATCGTGTCAGATATAGCTCCGCCCCTCCGGTGAAGGACTCGAGGTATATTTACCCTGGCGCGAGGCTGATTTTCTATATTTTTACGATTGCTTCGCCGTGAAGTGCTTACTATTGTCACTGAACGAATATCAGCGTAGCCTGGTGAATGACTGCTGAAGATAGCGGTCAGTCAGCGAGAACGGAGTGGTTTTTTTCGTGTGGACAGTTAGTTCGGACATACAACACAACATGGACTCGTATTCCCCGGGTATGCTGTCGGCCAAGTCGCCATACGACCCCGCCAGCACCGGCAACTACGCCATGACCACCATGCCGAGCATCAACAGCATGGGGTCCACGATGGGATCCATGGGATCCATGGGGTCCATGTCCAACATGAGTTACGCACCACAAGGGATGACGAGCATGGGCAGTATGGGAGCGATGACACCCTCCATGGGGACAATGGGTATGAATGCTATAGGAATGCACAGTCCCATGAGCGCTATGAACAATATGAACACCATGGGAAGTGTATCCGCCATGAACGGGATGACCATGGGATCTATGACACAGATGAATGGGATGAGTAGGTCCCCCATGGACCCTAATTTGATGCCAATGGACAGAGCTCAAGCCCTAAATAGAGCTCGGGATAAGACCTACCGACGGAGCTATACTCACGCGAAACCTCCATATTCCTACATATCGCTTATCACTATGGCAATCCAGCAGGCTCCCAGCAAAATGTGCACCTTGAGTGAAATCTATCAGTTCATCATGGATTTATTCCCGTTTTACCGTCAGAATCAACAACGGTGGCAGAACTCAATACGGCACAGTCTATCGTTCAATGATTGTTTTGTTAAAGTTCCTCGGACCCCTGACCGACCGGGCAAGGGGAGCTACTGGACGCTACACCCTGACTCAGGTAATATGTTCGAAAACGGTTGCTACCTCAGGCGCCAAAAGCGCTTCAAGTGTCCGAAGAAGGAATCCATGCGGAGCGTGACCCGCTCCCCGGAGCTAAGCGGTACGTCACAGAATGGTCAAAATGCTCAAAACCCGGACTCTACCCCTACGTCAACGGACAACGGGTCAGGAATGTCCGCGCCCAACACCCCACCCCATTCAGTGGAGCCTCTCGTTCAACCCAAGATGGAAACGGGCCACGGTACCCCTCCCGATTTGTCCCATACGCAAATGCACGGGCACAACCCTAGTCAGCAGCAGCAGCAACCACAACAACATCATCAACAGCAGCCACAGCACCAACCACAACATCAACAACATCAGGCGTCACTAACCACGTGTACAACAGAACTATCTAACGTGCAATCGCTTCAACATGACGTTCGGAACCATTCTCAGGGATTATCCTTGGGTCCAGGTCAGTTAAATCCTGCCCACCACCCATCATTTAATCATCCTTTTTCCATCAACAATCTTATGTCCGAGAGTACCATGAGCAAACTGGATCTGAAAATGTATGAGAACATGCAGGGGGGATACGGTGCGTACACCCAAATGTCACCCCTGACAATGCCAAAGGACAGTTCGCCGCCTATGTCAAATCCAGACGGTAGTTACTACAAATACGTACCACACTCCACAGCAAGTTTGTGAAATTCAAATTCAGTTTAAGTTTTGTTCACGAACGTTTTTTACATTTTTATTTGACACACACGTATTGAGTGGAAAAGCTGTTTAACCAAAGAGCGGACAGTCCCTACCTTGCTGAAGGCGATACTGTGCGCCGGTCGGCTTGCAAAAAGAACTCAATTGATAAAAGACGAACAACTTTTCTATTTTAAGAAAAGACGCATTTTTAATTTGCATGCACTGTTTGTGCACTGACATTGTGCCGCATTGACGGCAAGACGGGTTTCGTTTGTATAGGCGATCGGTGTCAGGGTAGCAAAATACCCACAATTCGGCTGCTGCTCGGCGAATTGTGGCTGTCATGGACAATAAGCTGTTATATCGCTGTAGTCACAACCTAGACAAGGTAACTCCCAGTTTTGTTTTTTATATATAAACCACTTGTAAAATAGGTAAATATTTTTGTTTAATTTATTTAAAGCCACTTATCGGTAGAAATGAGTTTGAAAGATATATTATATTTTTCTTTCAAAAATGAGAGGAATGATTTTCTTGTAATTGACAATCAACATTATCAATGTTTTTGTACAAAATGCATTTTTTCTCAGACAGTATGTCGAGAAAATTGAACACCACTAAGGAGATTACGGTCTGAACTATTACAATGTTCTAACTTAAACACTGATGGTATTTTATGTAGCATATTTAAGTCATTCTCATGTCAATGTTGTAATTCGATATTGTTAAACCTTGTACAGTTTTCAGATCTGTATGTCTCAGAGGTTTTCCACAAAATGTTCTGTTTTAGAAAAAATATTAAACTCTATGAAACGTAATTTGGCTTTTCGTTATTTAACCAATATATGGTGGTGGTTGCGGAGTGCTGTTATTGCTTTGAATCTGTGATCTCATACGCACAACTTAGATCCGTGGTCAGGTCTTGTTCTTAGCTTCTGGCGTGCATTCTACGTGTCTGGTTCAGTATCTACCCCGTGATACTCGGTTGCTAAGCAGAGTTGAGTTTTCAGTCTCATATCTAAGATCGTCATGATAGGTTGTGATTAATAATGGCAGACACTGAAGTCGTGGGGCAGTTCGAGCACACCAGATACTTTCCTCACCTCTTTCACCGTTATTCCTACACAATATATATTACACATTTTGTTTTGTGAACGCTGACAATTTAGTTTTGCTGAAGGATAAAAGCGACGGGAGAATCAGGAAGCAATCAACGAAATCCGGACAACGTCGATCTAAAGTTTAAAATTTTAAACCGGCTTTCAAAAATCAACAGCAACCGGACGGAGAAGTCTTGGAAAAAGGATGGTTAAATGAAGGGAAATGTCACTATTTTAGAAAATATTTCATGCGTTTATACTAATTCTGCATCTGGAATGCTGAGTGTATTTGGATTTGAACGCGTTGCTGTCACGGGTGATGCAACAGCAGTTTACATATGAGTGAAATTTACATTGATTTCAGCAGTGATCGGCTCAAAGTCTCCCGGATTTCCCAACCGCTTTTATCCTTTCTAGCAACATATTTGTCACATTGATCAACGTTTGCGGAACAATTGGCACCTCCATTTCACAGGTGTCTCCTCACTGATTACGCCGTTTGTCCATATCAGTATCTTTTGTTATATATCAAAGCGTGCAACTTACGGCTGATTAGCGAAATGAAATGGATTGAGTTGTATTTCAATGTTTAAGTTGAAAACTTACTTGGCTATCACTATACTATTTATTGCAAATGACTAAACATTTGAGTAGTTTCCTTTATGACTTAAGAGTAGATATTTTAAGTCACACATATAAATGTATTCGTTTGTAACATTTACTAATACAGTCCAGAGCAAACCAAGAGCCTGACAGAGATGTTGTAATACGTTGCCCATTAGAAAACTCTTTAAGTAATTCAAATGGTGTTGTAACAATTTTCCGAAGTAAAATATTGTATAAGGTAATTTATTTTGTAAATAGCAAATTTAGCTGCGTGCATCTTGGGAATATTTCGTCATTACCTTTTAGTTATATTTAAAAGCGAAAAAATTCTACAAAATAGACCTACTTCAGTAGAGCCCAATGTTATGTTTCAATAAATCATTGCTTAACCGCTCAGTAAATTAAATTGAAAATTGATACAATGGTTAAAACCTAAAGTACTTAGATATCAGAATGTGCTTCACGTTGGTATTAAGGTTCATTGTTATAATAATAACATTATCTGAAAACAAAATTGGAAAATTGCAATATTCAAATGTGCATTCAATTCGATTCTAAAGTACTGGTTATTTTTTCCACATCAAAATGCAACCTTCATAAATGATGATGTCTCCGACTGTAGTTCAGGCTCAATATTTTTCTGTCACTTAAGAAACGCTTTCTCCTAGACAGGAAACTTAATTTTCACGTTATTAAGAATTAATAATGTTCTCTTAAAACTGATAGCGGGGTAGTTCCAGCGCCTTATAATTGGAGTGATCTCTAGAGTGTATGGAAAACTTTGCTCGTTTCTTCTCAACCCACATAAAATTACCCCCTCTTCAGGGGTGCGATCCCCTAGGGAAGAGGTACTCTTTAGGGCCCGGTCGCCACGCGCGGCCTGTCGACTCCCCCCGCCTTTTCACACCATATCTTGTCGAATTCACCCAGGCGGAAAATAGTTAGCGCTCTGTCATTGTCCCATTGTATGGGTTCGACGATTTCATGTGGTTGCGATTTGGCAAATCACCGAGGCGTAAGAATTATCAGTTTCTCGGTTTTGTCGAAAAACCAACAACTAAAAGGGCTCTCGTTTTCCGTGTTGGGTAACAAAGACGTTCGATGGCAACACAGCTTATCAAAAGCTGACGCCCTTTCCTGCCAATCACTGTAGGAATTATAAGGATAGGCCTCTGTTTTGGGCTATAATTTGTTATATTTCAAACTAATTTATTTCATTTGTTAAATTGAGCGTAATTTATTTAACCTTTTAATCATCCGCATCCTCTTGGCACAGTGTTTATGGGTGAGCAATAACCAACACAGCCATATGTTTTTTCAAAGTTACACTGGAGAAAATTACAGTCTAAAAAATTATAGCAATCTTCACCGGAAAAATACTATTTTTGATTGAAAGATTTGAGTTTTTGTCCGCCCTCCGTTAATCTGAACCGTTTTCTTTTTTCATCAAAAATTGAGATCGCATCTTGTCCGAAATGGGGAAAAAGGGGGTCCCTCATGCCTTTGCTCGTCTGAATCTATTTAATCTTGATAAATAATATGTTTTTGCCTTCGACTCAATTTCCTCTCGGCCGCGGAAATGAGCGCAGCATTGAACCCTTGGTGCCTAGGGGCAGAAGCCCAACTAGGGTCCTTATATCCTTCGAGGGCCGCGAGCACCCTTTTATATTGCTCCGAAAGATTGCGGGACACAGCGCTTAGAGTTTGAAAGCAAGAAAGAATAGAAAAAGGAAACGGACTGCAGTTTTTAATCAATGTTCGAAGATGTGAATCAAATAGGGGATATTTTGGATTCATTCAGCCGCCATTCTTTTACTAGTAATCGACGGCTTGGCATACAGAAAATACTGAGAATCCACTTAAATTTTTTTTCTCTTTTAGCAAGACATTCTACGTGCGTTGGAGTAATTTTCATATCGCGCAATGCCAGGTTTTGGGGTGGGTGGGGGAGCGGTGGTTTTAGGAAATGGAACTCTCTCGTATTTTTTACTTCTGATTGGACAACCAAATGTCTTTTGTATTCCAAACCAATTAAATGTCTTGCAAACTGTGCAGAGTATGAATTATGTTTCAACTGCTTAGTTCCTGTATTTAATTCACAATTGAAGAAATTCGCCATGACGGTATGGCAGCTCTGACCAATGCTGAACATTTTGGGGAAAAAAACATGTTTTCACGCAACCAATTCTGACTCAAACCGATAAACGAGTTGATACAAAAATGAAAGAAAAGTTGCATAATAAGGATTTTATTATTTAAATTATCATGATTAAAAACCAAAACATTGAATTGCAAATATTTTATCAAGAGGACACAAATAATATTAAACGCAAACATACCAGGTTTCTTTCAGTAAACAAAACAGCATCCATCACTGTTTGTGGGGTGCAGTTCTTCAAGGTCATAGAATTGTGGAGCCAAAATTAATTCTGGTGTCCCTGACATCCACAATGGTTTTACCGTATATGGAATTAACAACACCAAATATATTCTTATAAGCGAAAGGAATTTTATCTATAACATACATGTATATATATTTTATAGCATTTCTGTAAACACTATAAGGCAATTGATCGTGTAAATACGGCAGAACAAATCGGAAAGTTTTTACACGAATTTAGTTTTATCGAAATAGGGGATTGAATTTTTTTTCATGGAATTGCCGATCATCAAGGAAAATTTAACTTGAGAAATATGCATGTTCAGGAACTGAGACTATATCAAGGTCCCTTCAAACCACAGGGGGTAGAGCGGTGAGGTCCGAATAACCCATGTATGTTGTGTAGTAATGAAAGGAGTCAAGCATTTTGACCGAAGTCAAATTTAACGGCACCTCCTTCATGGTAGGATGTGGTATAATCGTCAGAGAAGTGAAGGGTACAGGGAATTCTACTTCTGTAACCCCCCACCCCTAGTCCCCACCCTCTCATATACCCCTCGACCTGACGCAGAATTGCCTTTCATCTGCAGAACTGTGGAGGGCCCTCTATACGGAGAAGTCAAATTTGAAATATCCAATCTCGAATATTATAAATCAAATGTTTGGAGCGTGACCCCCCAGCCTTCCTTTCCGACCTACCCCGATAAGACCGGGTGTGGAGGGTACATTATTTCAGGTCAAATTTAAGAGGAACGGATATGACGTTGGTACACACGCATCTCGAGGTTGGGTTTAAAACTGGATTGGTTCGAAAGCCCTACGACGTCACAGCTTGTTATTTGTCTTGAGTTCATGATTAAGTACATGGCTCTTGTAAACCCATGCAATTATACAAAAAGTATAGTTGCTTATTACAAAACTCGCTAAAGTGTTTTATTTAATGGCATTAAAACTACATAAAAAAATTTCATGTTCGATCAATCATAAAGATTTATTATCAACTCTCAAATAAACAAATGTTAATAATACATTGAAATAAATCGCAATAAAAAACATAATAATCCTGTTCATAAGACCAAATATTTACGTCGCAACATTGTACACCCTGTTAGCTTCGTTGCATTAGGAATTAGATCATTCGCGCTGTGGAGGAACGGGTTTTTATTATGATTATTTAGTGATAACTGGGTTGCAATATCACTTGACGATATCAAGGTCGGGTGCCCTAAGGTTAGTACTGACAATATTGATAGTTGAAATCAAATATTTTGATGTGTTAAGTACAGTTTGAAATAGCTACTC